CCCCCCACCCCCACCCCCCCCTCAGCGTCTCCAGGGCAACTGCGTAGCCACGTGGCAAAATTCAGAAGCGGCTGGGCCTCTCTGGTGCTGGAGTCCTTGCCGCTTATTCTGGTGGCTTAACTTTATTAACGCTCCTCTTCATTCCAACCGAATACTCATTCCGAAGTCAAGCAATTCCCCTGGAGGACGCTGAAAAATTGGAGAACAGCACTTTCAGCATTTTATCCATTGTTAAATTTTCTAACTTTGTTCTTACTCAAACCCTATTATTGAGGGCTAACTTTCAGAAAGTAATTTTTGATGGAGGCAGTTAACAGGTCTAAAACTGCAATATTGTCAAAAAGTTTTATTATTAAAAATTTGTCTATGTTTTCTTTTATTGCCTGTGCCTTTAGCATCACATCCAAGAAATCATTGCCAAATTCAATGTTGTGAAGCTTTTCCCCTATATTTTCTTATAAGAGTTTTATGTTGTAGCTCTTATGTTTAGGTCTTTGATCCATTTTGTTAACTTTTTTATAGAGTATTAGCTAAGGGTCCAACTTTATTCTTTTGCATGTAGATACCCAGTTTTCTCAGTACCATTTGTTGAAAAGACTTCCTTCTCCCCAGGTCTTGGAACTCTTGTCAAAAATTAGTTAGCCATATGTAAAAGGTTTATTGCTAATCCCTCTATTCTCTCTATTCTGTTTCATTGACTTATGTTTGTTTTTGTGACAGTACCACACTGTTTTGGTTACTTCAGCTTTGTAGTAAGTTTTGAAATCAGGAAGTGTGCATCCTCCAACTTTGCTCTATCAAGATTGTTGTGGTTTTTCCATTTCTGCAAAATACATCATTGGGATTTTAATACGGATGGTATTGAATTTGGGTAATACTGACATCTTAACAATATTCTGTTACTGTCTTCCAACTCATGAATATAAGATGTCTTTCCCATAATAAGTAGCATCTTTCATTTCTTTATTTCAATAATATTTTGTAGTTTTCATTGTCTTTTTTTAAATGCTTTATTTTAAAGCAAGAGGGGGAGAGAGAGAGAGAGAGAGAGAGAGAGAAACACTGATGTGAGAGAGTCAACAATTAGTTGCATCCCACACGTGCCCTGATTGGGGATAGCACCCTCAACCTAGGTATGTGCCTTGATCAGGAATCGAACCCGCAACCTTTTTGGTTTTCATTGTCTCAAGTCTTGCACTTTCTTAGTCAAGTTAATTCCTAAGTTTTTTTCTCTTTGATATTATAGTAAGTGTAATTATTTTCTTAATTTCCTGTTCAGATATTTAATTGTTGGTGTATAAAAATGCAACTGATTTTTGTGTTGACTTTTCATCCTGTTACTTTGCTGAATTCAATTTTTTAGTGCTAACAGTCTTTTGTGGAATCTTTAGGGTTTCCTATTTACAAATCATCTGTGAACAGAGATAATTTTACTTCTTTTCCAATTTGAATAACTTTTATTTCCTTTTCTTGCTGAATTGGATAGAAATTCCAGTACTATCTTAAGTGGCAAAAGCCGTCATCCTTGCCTTATTCCTGATCTACTGAGTGTGAGGCTTGTTGTGGGTTTTTCACATATACTTTCATTATGTTGAAGTAGTTTTCTTTAATTGCTAACTTGTTAAGTGTTTTTGTCATGGAAGGGTATTGAATTTTATCAAACGCTTTTTTCTATATCAATTGAGATGATCATGTGGGTTTTCTCCCTCCATTCTGAACGTCCTTGCATTCTAGGAAAAGTCCACTTGGTCATGATATATGATTCCTGTTTTTTCTCCAATGTCTTTTTGTTGATTTCAGAGAGGAAGGGAGAGGGAGAGAGAGATAGAAACATCAATGATGAGAGAGAATCATCGATTGGCTGCTTCCTGCATGCCCCCTACTGGGAATCCAGCCTGAAACCTGGCCTTGTGCCCTGATTGGGAATCAAACTCGTACCTCCTGTTTCATAGGTTGATGCTCAACCACTGAGCCACACAGGCAGGGCATCATCCTTTAACTATGTGGTGAATTTGGTTTGCTAGTATTTTGTTGAGGATTTTTGCATTGCTATGCGTAAGAGATACAGGTTATCTCTTATGCGTATCAATGTCATTTTTTTTTAATGTTAGGAAATGTTATCTTCGATATTTTGGGAAAGTTTGAGAATGATTGATGTTCTTTAAATGTTTGGTAGAATTCACTAGTGAAGCCATAAGGTCCAGGGCTTTTCTTTGTTGGGAGATTTTTTTATTACTAATTCAGTTCCTTTACCAATTATATGTCTCTTCAGGACTTCTTTCTTCATGATTTAGTCTTGGTAGGTTTTGTTTTTCTAAGAATGTGTGTGTTTTTTTAATCTAGGTTATCCATTTTGTTGGTGAACAATTGTTCACAGTACTCTTATCATCCGTTTTATTTTTGTAGCATCAGTATTAATTCCACTTCCATTCCTGACTTTAGCAATTGGAGTCTTTACTCTCTTTCTTAGTCAGTCTAGCTAAAGATTTGTCAATTTTGTTGGTCTTTTTGAAAAGCCATCTTTTGGTTTCATTGTCTCTATTTTGTTTATCTCTGTTCTAATCTTTACAATTTCCTTCCTCTGCTCGCTTTGGGTTTCTTTTCTAGTTCTTTAAATTGAAAGTTGTTTATTTAAGATCTTCCTTCTTTTTTAATGTGTTTATAGCTATAAATTCCCCCCAAAATATTGCTTTCACTGTGTGTCCCATAGGTTTTGGTATGTTATATATTTTGTTTCATTTGTCTCAAGATATTTTCTAATTTGCCTTTTTATTTCTTCTTTAAGAGTTTATTGTTTAACTTCTACAAGTTTGTAAATTTTCTAGTTTTACTTTTGTTATTTTTAATACTTTTGTTATTGATTTCCAACTTCCTCCCATTGTGGTCAAGGATACTTTATATGATATCGATCTTTCAAATCTATTGAGACTTGATTTGTGGCTTAACATATGATCTATCCTAGAGAATGTCCCACATGCGCTTGAGAATATGTATTCTGTTGTTGTTGGGTATTGTTCTGTATGTCTGTCAGATTTAATTGGTTTATTGTGTTTTCAAGCTATTTCCTTACTTTTCTTCTGTCTGGTTCTATTCATAATTGAAAGTGAGGTAGTAAAGTATCTGACTATTGTAGAACTATCTATTTCTCCCTTCAATTCTGGCAATTTTTGCCTCATATTTTAAGGGTGTGTTCTTAGGAGTAAATATAGTGTTTTTGAAACATAAAGACAGTGAACAACCTAGTATCTACTGATCTTCAAGATATACTTTTTCTTTTAAAGATATACTTCTAATTGGAACAAAAACAGTGCATATGGTATGTTACTTTTGTTTTAATAAAATAAATACACCTGTATGTATTTGCTTGTGCATGCAGAGACTATCTCTGGAAATATAAAGAACCTGGGAGGGCCTTAGTTCTGTGGCTGTGTGGGGGAGTTGGGTACCGGTGCACCGGTGTCAGCCCTCAAAATCCCCATGTGGTCGCTGTCACGTTCTCCTACCCTCACCATGTTCCTCACTGGGTCTGAGTACCACAGCGGTGGGAATATTTTTTCTCCTGAAGGAAGATGATTTCAAGTGGAATATGCCACTGCGGCTATCAAGCTTGTTCTGCAGCCATGGGGATCCAGACACCCGAGGGGGTGCGCCTAGCTGTGGAGAAGAGAATTGCCTCCCCGCTCATGGAGCCAAGCAACATTGAGGAGGTGTTGAGAGTGATGCTCACATAGGTTGTGCCATGAACGGGCTAATTGCTGCTGCGAAGGCTTTACGGCAGTGATGGCGAACCTTTTGAGCTCAGCGTGTCAGCATTTTGAAAAACCCTAAGTTAACTCTGGTGCCGTGTCACATAGAAAAATTTTTTGATATTTGCACCCCATAGTAAAACAAAGACATATTTTTGATATTTTAAGACTATACTTTCAGGGATCATTTCTATAGTTCGTTGATATTTATTTTATATATTTAAATGCCATTTAACAAAGAAAAATCAACCAAAAAAGAGTTGGCGTGTCACCTCTGACACGCGTGTCATAGGCTTGCCATCACTGCTTTACGGTAACTGAGAAAGCCAGAGTGGAGACACGGAACCACTGACTCACCTACAATTAGACAATGATGGTGAGTGTGACTCAGACCGTGTCCAATCTGGCTCTACCGTTTGGAGAAGGTGCAGATCTGGGTGCCATGTCTCATCCCTGTGGAGTGGCACTGTTATTGGAGTTGATGAGAAAGGACCTCCGCTGTTTCATAGGGCCCATCAGGGACCTTTGTCCAGTGAGATGCTTGAGCAGTTGGCTCTGCTTCAAAGGGTGCCCAGAGCTCCTTGCAAGTTTACCACAAGCCTATGACTGAAAGAAGCCATCACATCTTCACTCATCATGCTCAAACAAGCAATGGAGGAGAAGCTGAATGCAATTAACACAGAGCTAGCCGCTGTGCAGCCTGGTCGGACTTTCCCCAGGTGCACAGGAAAAACTTGGAGAGGCCATGAAAGGCATTTAAAGAAGTGTGCTCCTCAGAACTTCTCTGGGCAATTTCAGTTCTCCTGATTGCCCTGAGCTTTTATTTCCAGCTCCTATTCCTTGGAAAATATAGGCTGTATGTGCATTTTTAAAATGACGTCTGTACATAAAAGCAATTAAAGAAAGAAATAGAAACTTAAAATAAAAAATGAGAAAAAAGAGGAAACCGGTAACCTTGATTGCCTCCTACTTAGGAGGCGAACTAGGTGCCTGGGCACCAGGGTGGGAGGAAGGAATCTTCATCTGTGTACGCTCTTATACCTTATGAATTTTGTATAAAAAAATACATTAAAAAATAAGTACACTTAATTTGAAATGCTGTAGACTGGAAAGTAAAAAACAAACAAACAAACAAAAGTAGTGTACAGTTCATATGAAAAGGATCCTAGAAGATATTCGATGACCGTAAACTCAGTATGTAGGACGAGCCACCAAGAGCTTGCTTGTATTCCAAAAGCTCTGTTCAGAGATGATGCAGTGAAGGAAAAGAACAGGGGCTAAGGATTCATGATGGTTTGTCCAGACCCTTCTTTCTAAAAGTATTGACGGTGACTTGCAAACACATGTAACACGTAAAACTGCAACATTAATCACAGGAACGAAGGGTGGGGGCATGAAGCACAGCAGTGACCGGAGCCAGTCGTGAGTTCTAGGCCCAAAAGGAAAGGAGGGGGAGAGGTTAGTGGAAACTGAAGGGAGTCATGTGGCATGGGCCACCTGGGAGTGCATTCTGGCTGAGGAACACACCTGGTCTGAGAGACCCAGAAGGGTTGAACCAAGGGAATAAATACCCTAACCCCACTCCTCCCTTCCCTCCTCCCTCCCATCCCTGCTACAGATCCCCACTGGCCAGGCCCAACAGAACGCAGAGGCCATGGAAAGTCTGTCGATGGAGTCCATGCAGCTTTCTTGGGCAGCAAAGTCGGTGAAAGGAGCAGAGATTTGGAGAGGCAAGTGGAAGACGTGCGGCACACTCATCATGATATAAATACTAACGACTTAGCCAATATTTACACAAACCTATATGGAGGATGTGTGGGAGTAGAGGAAACACAGTGTAAGATAGCTATATCTCAGCCATGGAAGGAAGTCAGTAATGTGGAAAGCTGACAGTTCCAAAAATGGCAATATATATATAAAACTTAGAAATATAGAGATAAAACATAAGACAAAAGCAACAGCTAAATGAGTAAAGCCTTTGGGGACTAAGGGAGGAGAGACATTATACATCTTGCAGTATTATTTGCCCTGACCGGTTTGGCTCGGTGGATAGAGCGTCAGCCTGCGGAATGAAAGGTCCCAGGTTCGATTCCGGTCAAGGGCATGTACCTTGGTTGCAGGCACACCCTCAGTTGGGGGTGTGCAGGAGGCAGATGATCAATGTTTCTCTCTCATTGATGTTTCTAACTCTCTATCCTTCTCCCTTCCTCTCTGTAAAAAATCAATAAAAAAATAAAAATAAAAAGATATATTTAATAAAAACAAAGGGATGTTAAGAAAATTGCTAGAAGGCAATTTTCAAAAGAACTAACAGTGGTTACATCTGTGGAGAGGGAATGGTAGTGAAATTTACATTTTTGTATTTCAAGAAAATTTGAATATTTGTCTAAATACTGCATTTTGAACTTAAAAGTTTTTTTTATTAAAGGTTGTATTTTTTTTTAACTTTCCATTGCACTGTTTTACTATGAACATCTGCTATTTTTGTAATATAGTTTTTATACTTTATACAACAAACTAATCAACTGAATTTAGTTGCTAAAGGGAATTTATCTTATCCCTCAGGTGGGTTGGGGCAGAATACCTAAAACCTACTGATTTCTATGAAATGAAGACCAGGTGAGTCACTGACTTGCTCACACACAGAGTGTAACAGAGCCTCAGTTAGGACCCAGGACTTCAATGGGCACCCAAAGGCAGAAGACTCTTCCAACCACTCCCTGCCTCAGAGGGAATAAGTAAATGTGACATAAAGATATGGTTCATCGCCCCTGAACACTGTAAGTCCCTAAAGTGAAGCAGCCCGGAGTGAAAGGCCATATAGAGGCCCAGACCAGCAAAGAACTGCAGTCATGTCACTGTTGCTGAAAACCACTAAGTTTTGGAGTGTCATCTTATGCAACAATAAATAACTGATAAACTCTACTTTAAAAAATAATATGTTACTGTCTCAGAACTATCCAGATGCCAGCATGCTATCATAATTCTGCTTTCTGGTATGGTGAAAAATGTCCCTTTTAAGAAATATTTAAACTTTAAAAAAAAGAAAAAGAAAAAAGCCAAACCCCAACCATAGTTAAACTGAATATTTAATACATTCTGTAGGAATAGAAGGAATGCAACAAAGATTAGAATTTTATAATATACGTTAGGCATTTATGTAAAAACTTCCATTTTTCCCAAATTTCCTCAATTTCTTGTCGTTGCTATTTTCTTCGGAGCAATAACCTATAATTTCTACTCTTGCAGATAAGGGGCTCGAGTGTTGGGCAGTAATTATAACTCTATGTTTCAAGTCATTATCACCTCCAAACACTCCCTTTCATTTATTTCACTGCCCAGTCTCACTGTACTGTTTCATAGTGAAAACACACTCCACTCAAGTTCAAAGAGCCCAAACAGAAGCTAGCAGCCCAAGGACGCTTAGGGACTGATGCAGTAACAATGTCTACTGGCACAAGCCTCCTCTTCACTCATACTATTACAGCTACGTTAATGAAAAAGGAACGAGGGAATGAGACCACTAACTATAACCAAACACATTCTAAATATAAATACCATGTGTTTCCTGAGCAGCATCAGGCAAACATCTAAACCATCCACCCCGAGTTCTAAGAGAAAAAGGTCAGAGACAATTACAAAGAAGGTGCTTCACATTATTAGGTCCATTTTGAAAACAAGGAGGTCCCTGGGTCAATGCCTTCAGTCTTTCTTTTTATCAGAGATTTCTGTTGATCCTGATGTTGGTAATCCATTTATGTCTGCACCCTGAAATGAAAAAACATTTTAGAGATTATTACGAGACACTCATCATAAGAGATGCTCTCTTTGAAAACAGTCGACAAACTTCAGAATGAAAAAACTCTGCTTCTAGAATTATGCAGCATGGCTTAGTGCAGCTGAACACTATCGAAGTTGAACGTAACAAGCACCGTTGCTAAAAACAAGAGGTTGTCTCTAAATAGTCATTTAAAAATAATAACTTCTTTGTGTAAAAAAATAGAATAACCTCTACGATCCTCCTAAATTAAGTCTCCCACCAAAATTATCAACCAGGGAAACTGGCTTTTTTTTATGTCATCTCTTCACACCCATGAGCTAGTCACCATTACTCTCAGCAGCCACGAAATACTGGCTATTATCTTGGCCACTGGCAAGGAGCAACTGCATTAGTCAGAGGCCTAGTTTAAAACTTTAGTTTAAACCAACTGTTAATTACTTTAAAAAAACACCCAAATTCCTTATTTTTTTATTCAAATTATAAGAGAAAGTTTATTTAGAAAGTTATAAAGGTAGAAGTGAGCCAGCTGGGCTGCACAGGCTCAGGAAACAAGTCCTTGGAGCTTCGAAGAGGGAAAGACAAAGGTAACTCGCCCAGGAGGAAAAAGAGGGGCCGGGAAAGGCTGGGAGGAAAAGCCAACCCTGCACCCCCCCCCTCGCCCAACACACACACACACCTCCGGTAAAAAAGAAGGAAATTAAGACACATTGATGAAGCTTCTGGTTCCAAGAACTTGCCTTTCCAAAAGCCAAATAGTTTACCCTGACTGTACCACCCCCTCACCCACCCAGCCTTCCTAGCCGAGGTATTTTAATGTCCTTACCTTATAGCCTATTTTGCCTTTGCTTGCATCACTGGATTCTTGCACAGCTTTTCTAGGCCATATGCGACTAACAAAGGGGGAAATCAGAGGGCATACGTAGGGCTCCAGGAACTTTTTGTAGACCCAGAGCAGAACTGGAATGACGATACAAGGAATGCACACCATTGTCCCAGGTGAGAGCTCCTGAGCTGAGAGACACAAAGAAAAAACCAATCAGCTCCTCACAGATTGACGACTACAGGAATTCAGCTACATTAGGGTGTTTGAAAGGATTATTTCTGCTCTGAACGAAAAACTTAGATCATTCTATTAGCTAAATGCAAGAACCTATTGAAGATACTGCTATCTGCAAGGTAAAGGAATTATAGGTGGTAGGCATGAAAATAACAGCGACGTTCCCGCTTCCAAATCTCTCCAATCACTGCTCCCCAACCATAAATTTAATGATAAAGACGCCAACATCTGCTAGGTGCTAGGCAGTTTAATGCTTTGCATATACAGTTGGTTCTCTGTATCCCCGGGTTTTGCATCACAGAGTCAACCAACCCCAAATCGAAAACATTTGAAAAGAAAATCCCAGAAAATTCCAAAAAGCAAAACCTGAATTTGCTATGCACAGAGCACCTCACTAAATCCAAGCAATTAAGTGATGTGTGGGCATACTGGAGCCTATTGACAAACACTACACCTTTTATACGGGGGACTTGCGCACCCAGGAATTTTGGTGGAGGGGCGGT